ACAATTGGACACAAGTAGACACAAGTGGACACAATCCAACATAAGCAGACACTACTAGACATAAGCAGACACAAGTGGACAGAGGTAGAAACAAGTGGACACAAGTAGACACAAGCAGACACAAGTGGACAAAAGTGGACACAAGTAGACACAAGTGGACACAAATGGATACTAGTAGGCACAAGTGGACAGAAGTAGAAACAAGTGGACACAAATGGATACTAGTAGGCACAAGTGGACAGAAGTAGAAACAAGTGGACACAAGTAGACACAAGCAGACACAAGTGGACACAAGTAAGCACAAGTGGTCACAAGCAGACATAAGTGGACACAAGCAGACAGAAGTTGACAAAAGCAGACACAAGTGGACACAAGTGTACACAAGCAGACACAGGTGGACACAAGCAGACACAAGGAGACAGAAGTGGACTCAAGCAGACACAAGTGGACAGAAGTGAACACAAGCTAACACAAGTGGAAACAAGTGGACACAAGTTGATACAAGAAGACACAAATGGTCACAAGTAGACACAAGTGGACACAAGTAGACACAAGTGGAAACAAGTAGACACAAGTGGACACAAGTAGACAAAAACAGACACAGGTGGAAACAAGTAGACACAAATAGACTCAAGTATACACAAAGAGACTCAAGTACACACAAGTGGAAACAAGTAGACACAAGTGGACACAAGTAGACAAAAATAGAGACAAGTGGACACAATTAAAACACATGGACACAAGCAGACAAAGGTGGACACAAGTGGACCCAAGTAGAAACACATGGACACAATCAGGCACAAGTGGACACAAGCAGATACAAGTAAACACAAGCAGACATAAGTGGACACAAGTAGACACAAGTGGACACAAGTGGACACAAGTAGACACACGTGGACACAAGTGGACAGAAGTAGGCGCAAGTAGACACAAGCAGACACAAGTGGACACAAGCAGACACAAGCTGACATAAGCAGACACAATTTGACACAAGCGGGCACAAGTGGACACAAGCAGACCCAAGTTGACACAAGTGGAAATGAGTTGACACTAGTGGACAAAAGTAGACATGAGTGGTCACAAGCAGATACAAGTGGACACAAGCAGACACAGGTGGACACAAGTAGACAGAAGTGAATTCAAGCAGACACAAGTGGACAGAAGTGAACACAAGCTAACACAAGTGGACACAAGTAGACACAAGTGGAAACAAGTAGACACAAGTGGACACAAGTAGACAAAAATAGACACAAGTGGACACAATTAAAACACATGGACACAAGCAGACAAAGGTGGACACAACTGGACCCAAGTAGACACATGTGGACACAATCAGGCACAAGTGGACACAAGCAGATACAAGTAGACACAAGCAGACATAAGTGGACACAAGCAGACACAAGCTGACATAAGCAGACACAAGTGGACACAGGCAGACCCAAGTTGACACAAGTGGAAATGAGTTGACACTAGTGGACAAAAGTAGACATGAGTGGTCACAAGTAGACTTAAGTGGACACAAGTAAATAATAAATTATAAATGTCCCACACTTGTAAAGCGCATCTCAGAGTAGGGACTCCAATGCGCTTTACACTACAGCGTGTCATTCATCCATTCACACATTCACACGCTGGTGAAAGTAGACACAATTGGACACAAGTAGACACAAATAGAGTCAAGTTGACACAAATAGAGTCAAGTGGACACAAGTGTCCAATGTTTCAAATCTCTCAAAAAGGAACGTTTCACAAAATAAATACAATATGAAATATAAACAATGATTTTTTAAACAAAACAAATCAAAAACGTTTAGATGATTTAAATCTTTATTGTTCATTATGGCACGTCATGATCCTCACAGTTGTTCTCATGAAATCCTTGCGTCATCCATTAATGAGTCACTGTGGAAACTCGGGTGAGGCAAAGAGGCAGCACCTCAGCTGACATGCAACATGAAGGTGTGTAGCATGGCAGAGACACGCCTCATATTTTGATAGTTTTATTTGTGAAGAAGACAACATCATGGAAAGTATTTGTTTACGTATTTAATCACGTCACAGAAACAATGTGGTGTTGAACGACGAAAGGCTGAGCAGTCGGGTCAGTTCACATCTTATAAAGAATCACCACATCAAGCCTGTTTGACTAAACTCTCACTTCCAGTTTGGGCACAGACACTAATTCCACTCACGACCATTTTTAAATGAGAGCTTTAACACCGGCGCCTCCTTTCCAGTCAGCGTTGGACCGATAACTCGTTAGGACGACGGTGATGCCACTGAGTGGTGGATTCTGTTGAAGGTTTACATGGTTTTACTAGGCTTACCCCACACAGTCCAAATGTAATTACACTACCTTTAGAGGTACCATCATGTCATCACTGGCGTGGCACAGTGGCGGTGCCGGGGGGGTGCTAGGGGGCGCTATAGCTACCCCTGGACTAGTCATTGCACCCCCAAGTAAATATTAGATATTTAATTTTTTTACAATTTAATTTTAATTTAATGTGTGGATGTGATAATATTTGACGTACAAAACCAAAATAATTAGTAAATTATCATATAGATAGTAAAAACTTAAACCAAAACGGGAAATTGATGTTAACCTTTGACCTCATTTTCCACCTGTGAATGAGTGAAAGGTGGAGCTAGTGGTAAGATCATCGACATATAAATATTGGACATTAGGTTTCCATAGGCTCCAATAACACATTTTTGAGGCTAAATGGGAGGTGGCCACCACCGCCATTTTGACCGTGTCACAGGTTCCGTCAAGCCCAGACAATTCCACAAAAGGGAAGAGAGGTGGAGCTGAGGGTGGGTCTGTAAGGCTGGGATCAACTGACGACACCCGGTCGAACTAGCTACAAGCTAACCTGAAGCTAACCCAAAGCTAACGCGGAGGTGGGAGCTAAGCTAACGGAGGTAGCAACCTAGCTACAACCGGAGTTAACTGTGTACAACACCAGAGCTTCTGAGTCAGAGATAAGCCGGGCTGACCGCTGGGTAAAACCGGGTGGAACACAGAGAGCTCCACAAGCCGGCAGCCGCACAGCAGATAAGCGCCGCTGCGATCTGAGATGCGCAGAGCTGCTGCTGGGGAGAACCGGGTGGAACACAGAGGTCTCCCGAGAGCTCCACAAGCCGATAGTGGGAACCCAGCTCCACCAACATGTTATATTTCAACCCATTTTCTAAAGTGCAGCATTATGTTAAATGCACTGGGTTTTACCCTATTACATTTACATTTCATGGTTAAACAGTACATGTTAAAATCTAAGCTCAGCTCGGCAGTGACCTAAAATACATAAATATAATTTTACTTACCGAAAAAAATGAAGTGGAGACTCCTTGGACGCTCTATTAGTGCAATTAATGCCACAGCAAGTCATTTTGTCCAACAATTGCACAATAATATCCAAACAAGAATACACACACACAGAGACTCAAAATCCCGGAACAGTTTCCAGGCCAGACCGAGACTCTACTGAGGCCTTTCCACGGAGCTAGCTCTGTGGTCACGTGGGTCTGATGCTCATTAATTATACAGAATTTTAGGCTTTTAATACACTTAAACAGAAGAGTGAGAAAAACATTCACCCCCCTCAGAGTTGTCATGAGTGTAAACTAGATCATTTAAACCAAAAACATGTTCTGGTACCAGGCTGTAAACATGTTTATTTCTGCTGTGAAATTGGTATTTTTAACATGGGAGTCAATGAGGATTTGCTC